CCTGTTATCCCCCACTCCCACCTTGTCCTTGCTCTTCAAAGACCAACGGTTGAGGAAGACGCGGAAGGTGATGTAGGCCTTCATGGACATTTCTCTTTGAGTAAAGCCCATCACCTTATCATTCCAAGAATCCAGGTGCTTCTGGGCAGTGATGACCAATCCGTGGAATACTGTACGGAGAGAAGGAAGCCAGAGCTTCCCATCACCTTTCCCTTCCCACAAAGTAAAGCATACACACCTAAAAGTACAGTCCTCTCCTCCCCAACCCACAAAGGACATTGGGGGTCCTGTGCTGGGAAAGACTAACCCGTCCACCACCTCTCCAACTATCTTTCCTCTCCCCCCATGCCTAGTTCCAGTATAGGCAGGGAAAGTGAAAGAGAAAGGCTGTCAGCACCTACAGCATCCCTATCAAGTTTGCCCGTTGCCCCAAACCAGGCCACGAAAGGTCAGATGGAGAAGAGCATCTACTCACACCTGGCCTGCTCTCAGCCATCACTGCCCCTTCCATAGACTTATGGGATCCAACTTCCCATAAGAGACCCAGTCTCTTCCTGGCCTTCTTCCCTCCCTCCCTGATTCCAATTAAGCCTTCCCCAGGTCCTCCTGACTCTTACCATGACATATCGCCAACATGTCATTCTCCTCTTGGGCCAACTTCAGAAGGGGCAGGATGAATCTCCATATAGAACTGATGTAGGAAACTGTATCTGAGAGGGAGAGTACAAGAAAAACATCCCTATCCCAGGGAAAGCAGCCTCCTGCCTTAGTGTACAAAATCTTATGATTTGGGACTAGGAGGTTTGGGTTCTGATCCTAGCTCTGCCTCCAAAGAGTCTGCACAGCCCAGACTAAGACACGTAATTTATCCTAGTTTCCATGTCCTCAACTGTTAAGTAGGACTACAGTTCCTAATGTGCCCACCTCACAGGGCTGTTGGGAAAATTAAGCTCAATAATGTTAGCACAACATACAGATGCAAGGTATTGCGACACCTTATACATGCACACTCCCCTCCAAGGACCCTTATGAAACAGAGCTGTGCTGCCTGAGGCTCTTCTCACTGTTCTAAAGTGAGAACATTTGCCCTGATTAGATCAAGAGACACATTTCCAGCTTCTGTGCCGTGTCCTCTGCGTTGGCGATGCAGCCCAACCCATAAGTCTTGTCATTTTGAACCTAATGCCCGGAAGGCCAGCTGACTTCCCACAACCTCTCTCTGGCCCAAACTCCAGGTGGTAAAGAAAGGGCAGGGTCTGTTATTTGTCTGGTGACTTAATTTTTTTTCACATTGTGTGATTGAAGGGAATAGAATGGCAAGAGAATTAATGCTGTCACCAACAGCCACCAGGATGGAGATTGTACGGTGATTCTCTGCCTCATTCTACTACACTATTACCTTCCAAACCTCTAATCAAAATCGAAACTTCAGGTTCCCCTAAGCAGAGCACTCTTCAGTTTTCTTTTTCCCCTCCCCACCTCTGTTGAATAGGGGCTTTCTATTCAGCCTTCCCTCTAGTTACCCAAGTCTGACCTCCAGCCCCACAGTCTCCTGTGCTTTAATATGCTCTCCTGTGCCACTCCTAGTCTCCAGGAACTCCCTCCTGAGTTCCCATCAGTCCCACAGGGATGCTAGTTTGCCCCCTCCCCTCTACACACACACACACACACACACATGACTAAACTAAGTGGAGATATACAGTGAAAGGAGTCAGGAGAATAATGCAGCACTCCCATGGCTTGCTGACCCTGTTTTTTTTTTTTGTTTGTTTGTTTGTTTGTTTTTTTTCTCTCTCAGACTAGCACTTCCACCACGGAGAGCAATACCTTGGGAAAGGCTTATCTTCCCCACTGCAACCATGAGGCTCCGTGGGGGCAGACAGTATATATTCGGTCTGTCCCATAGCTTGACAATGATCATCTCTGGAAAGTGGGACCCCAGAGCCATTAGGACCGCTGTAAACATCTTCTCCATTTCTCCATTTGTCTCCTGGAAAAAGAAAAACTGTTCCAAGGCTAATCTCTAAGACAAGTCTCTCAGCTTCTGAGAATTGGCTTTGGTCAGTATGTGGTTCTCCTCTATCCAGAGGGTAGTAACTATCCTATTGCATCCTACAACTCCATTCAACATATACCTTCCCCTTGAAAGAGGGCAAGAACTTCCTAGAGTGTGCGAGAGGGCAGGGAATCAAGAACTCTGCCAAGTCTCTGGGCTTGTGTGTTGGGGTGGGGATGGGGGTTGGCATTTACAGCGCACAGAGCTTTCCCTGTAGCAGCAAGGAAAGGGGGGTAGATTACTGAGGAAACTTTGAAAAGTTCTGATCAGGAGACAGGTGTGCCAAAGAAGGCAGGTAAACTGGAAGAATCTTGCATGTAGACAGTTAACCGAGAAAATCAGAAACCAGACTTACCCAGTACCAGGAAATGTAAGAACAAAAGTATCTGGATAGATGAATAGGTAGTGTTCAGTGCATGAATGTTCAGTGCAAAGTTGGGCAGGCAGGCAAGTGGGTGGATTTAAATAGGTTAGTGAATAAATTGAGATGACTAGCTGAGTTGCAACAGCAACAGTGACTGCCTGAGATATCCCAGGAGGTGGATTAGGACAGATTAGATTTTGAGGCCCAAAGCCTAAATCCTTTCCCGCTTTCCATCTTACTTCTTTCACCTTACCCTCTTACTTCATTACTTTATCTTCTAGCTCACAGTTCTTTAGACATAGGCTCTAGTATAAGACACAGGCTCTAGTAAATTGTTTAGAAACTTGAGGTACTCATCTCTCAGATACCACTTAATTTCAAAATGCCATCATCCACCAGAAAGAAGGAATTCCTGGTGTTAGGCCTGGAATCCTTTCTTCCCCCACAGTCCCCAACCCACAGGCATGGGCTCCTCACATTTCTCCTCAGGTAGTTGATAAGGACACCTGTAATTTTCTGGCATAATGTAGTAGACATCTTAATATTTAGAATTTTGACTTCCAGTAATTTGAGGTTTTTTATTATATCATCTTCTGACATCTATAGGAGAGACGGGATTCAAGAAGAAAGGAAGGTTGAAGGATGGGGATTTAAAAGAAAGAGAGAGAATAATGAGTCATGTTAGAGAAAGGAAGAGGAGGACTGAGTCTAGAGAGAAGATTAAAGCTGGACCTAAGTTTGAGGGGAAGCAGGTATGGGTTAAACTAGGGACATGGGAACCTGACCTGGAACTGTGAATGGACTGAGCCGGGTAGTGACTGGAAATTCTTCCCACTCTCCTGACACAATGGCTATGCACCCAACCAGCTACCTTTATGGAGGTGGTTCCACCCTGGGGCTGGAGCCAGGAAGATGTTTGACATGTCCTCACCTGACCTCCACGTGAAAGTACCATCAAAAATTTATGGATGTTTTCTTCTGAGATATAATTGTTCACTTTCCCTTTAAAGTTCTCTGAGGGAAGTGCCATAGCTCTTAATATCTCTGTAAGGAGTAAAGAGGGTTAGTAGAGGGGAACTGTTTCTCTCTTACTAGATTAGGGTTATGTTTTTCTTTAAAAGTGGGTAACATAGTATGATGAAAACATGCAAAAATGATGAAAAGCCAGAAGACACAAGTTTGTTGGCTGGTTATTACTTCACTGCTTACTATCAATATGTCCTTTGGCAATTCATTAAATCCTGGAGATTCTATTTTTTATATAAGACATTAATATAATAAAAATCAATATGAAGATCCTAAGAGATGGGATATGTGCTATTAGGTATCAACTTTTAGGATCTCGGCCTGCCCATTGGACACACTTTTCTTTTAATTTAAATATATCTTTATTGAGTTCAGAGATGTAGGGAGATGGGAAGAGAACTAGAAACATCAATGATAAGAGAGAACCATTGATAGGCTGCTCCCTACACACCCCCTACTGGGAATCAAGCTCAAAACCAGGCATATACCATGACCGGGAATTGAACCTGGTGGTTCCTGGGCAATGCTGGGCTGGATCACATCTTTTCTGTTGAGATAGTAAGTGCCTTCGATGACTGAGAGTATGAGAGTTGGGAAGGGGAAGGGATTATCCACAGGATAATAAAAAATAGGTTACTATAAACTAAAAATAAATAGAATGAAATAAGAATTTATAGATTGATTTGAAGAAAAACCAATTGGAAATTTTAAAAGAGGCAAAGAAGCATCTAACAGACTGTCAAACTACAGCGGGAAGGTAGGGGAAAATAGGGGAAGTAAGAAATCAACCAAAGGACTTATATGCATGCATATATAAGCACAACCAACAGACACAAGACACTGGGGGCGGGGGAACAAGGGTAAGTGCGAGTGGGAGGTGGGGGTCGGAGAGGTCAGGGGAAGGCCAGTGGGGGAAAAAAGAGACATATGTACTACTATTTATTATTCCTTAAACAATAAAATTTAAAAAGTAGGCATTAAAAATTTAAATCTCTATAAATAGGATAGACTAGTAGTCAAGACTGAACACAGTTAAAGAGAGAATTCATAAGTTGGAAAATAGTTCTGAGGAATTCACCTTATAAGAAATGCAGACAAATGAAATAATTTTTAAGCAAAGAACAATTGACACACTATAAGATAGACTGAGGAAAGCTCTAGAATAGGGGTGTCGAACTCAATCAGAGAAGGGGCCAAAATCTAAAATCCAGCCTAAATCGTGGGCCGAATGGTTTACTGAACAGTCATAAACTGTCATTGTGATGGAAACGCAGCGGAGTGCAGTGATGACAGCGCGGTGCGGGCCACATTGCAAGGCCTGGTGGGACGGATTTGGCCCGCGGGCCTTGTGTTTGACACATGTGCTCTAGAAGAATGGATGAAAGTAATTTGAAAAAAGGAGAATAATTTTCATATGGAAAGTGCACTCTAAGTACTCACCAGGATAAAAGATAAAATGATGCTTTAGTGAAACTGAAGAATATATGGATAAAAATGAAAATTCTCAATACATTAGAGTAAAATACCAATTACCTACAGAGGAATAACAATCACATTGAGAATTACTTTCTTTTTTTAATTTTAATTTTTTATTTTTTAAAATTTTTATTGTTCATATTATTACAGATGTTCCTCTCTCCCCCCCCCCCCGTTGCTCCCCTCCACCAGGTTCTCACCCCACCCTCTGCCCTTTCCCCACCTCCCATTGTCCTCATCTATAGGTGCACAGTTTATGTTCAGTCTCTTCCCACATCTTCATATCCCCTTTTCCCCGAGAATCATCAGTTCACTCCCCTTCCATACCTCTGATTCTATTATATTCACCAGTTAATATTCATCAGATTAAAAAAAATTTTTTTTTTGGTTTTTAGATTCACTTGTTGATAGTTACATATTTGTTGTTTATAGTTTTTATCTTTATTTACTTTCTCTTCCAAAAGAACTCCCTTCAGCAATTCATATAATTCTGGTTTGGTGGTGATGAACTCCTTTAGCTTTTTTTTTTATTGGTGAAGCTCTTTATCTGGCCTTCGATTCTGAGTGATAGCTTTGCTGGGTAGATTATTTTTCGCTGTAGGTTCTTACTATTCATCACCTTGAATATTTCTTGCCATTCCCGTCTGGCCTGCATGGTTTCTGTTGAGAAATCAGCTGACAATCGTATAGGTGCTCCTTTATAGGTAACTACCTGCTTTTTTTTTTTTTTTTTAATATATTTTATTGATTTTTTACAGAGAGGAAGGGAGAGGGATAGAAAGCCAGAAACATCGATGAGAGAGTAACATTGATCAGCTGCCTCTTGCACACCCCCTATTGGGGACGTGCCTGCAACTCAGGTACATACCCTTGACTGGAGTTGAACCCAGAACCCTGGAGTCCAACCCAGAACCCTGGAGTCCGCAGGCCGACACTCTATCCATTGAGCCAAACCTGTTTGGGCACTACGTGCTTTTAATATTCTCTCTTTGTCTTTTGCTCTTGGAATTTTAATTATGATTTGTCTTGGTGTGGTCTTCTTTGGATTCCTTTTGTTTGGAGTTCTGTGCGCTTCCTGGACTGGTAAGTCTAATTATTTCACCAGGTGGGGGAAGTTTTCTGTCACTATTTCTTTCAGTATGTTTTCGATATCTTGCTCTCTCTCATCTTCTGGGACCCCCATAATTCTGATGTTGGTTCACTTGAAGTTGTCCCAGAGTTTTCTTACATTATCTTCAACTTTCTGGATTCTCTTGCCTTCTTGCTTCTGCGGAGGAGTGTCTTCTGGCTCTTTATGTTCCAAATCTTTGACCTGATTCTTGCAATCTTCCGTTCTGTTTTTAGGACTCTGTATAATATTTTTTATTTCAGACAATGTATTCTTTATCTCTTGTTGATCCTTTATTATTTCTAGTTGATCCCTTTTCATATCCTCATAGGTCTCGTTTATTTTATCGGCCTTTTCTAGGAGATTCTTGAACAACCTTATAAGTGTGGTTTTGAACTCTGTATCCAGTCGCTTTTTGTCCTCCATTTCTTTCGTTTGTAATCTATTTCCCTGTCTCAACATTTTCACAGCTTCCCTGATGGGGTGGAGTTTCAGGGTGGAGCCTTAAGCCTTGGCTTCTGTCAGCCCCGCCCTATGCGGCTTCTGAGTCTCAGTATTCCTCAGGGTACTTCGGAATTCGCTGCAAGCACCTCTGAGAGTGAGGTGCCCTCGAGTTTCGCCTGCTACCAAACAGTCTAGTCTCTCCCCCAATGGGCCCAGAACTGGGGCTCAGTTCAGTTGGAAGTGGAGTTGGAGGTGGCATTCAGAGCAGTCCGCAGCTTTTGTCTCCTTCCCGCCAGGGCAATCTCGTGGCACATCCCTTTTCTCCGCGCAATGTGTGCGCCTCTGGGACCTCCTTTTGCCGCTCCCCTGAGATCCCACCTTACAGCCCAGCTCCCTATGGATGAGTCTGGGTCCCCTGGGTCTGGCCTAGAACTGGGATTCAGAGCAGTCGGAACTGGGGTTCAGCACAGTCCGGAGCTTTTATCTCCTTCCAGCTAGTGAACACCAGCCAGGCACTCAGCTGCCCCCTCCACTCCTCGCGCTCCATGTGTCTCTGTACCTTAGGCTCTTACAGCTCCTCCACGCTTCCTTCTGTTTTTCTCCTTGCTTCTCATTATAGAATTTCCAGTCAGTCTACTTTCCTGTAGTTCTGGGTAATGTCCATTTTGTATTTTAGTTGTATTTTATTGAAATTGCTGTGTGCGGCTGCGGTTAGGTGTTTACCTGTGCAGCCATCTTGGATCCTTCCTGAGTCATTTGAGAATTACTTTCTTAATAGCAACAACAGACACCAAGAGATAATAAAGAAATAACATGATGTAGTTATACTTTCTACAGTTTCTAAAGTAATCCATACAAGAAGTATAAAAGAATGTCTAACTACCAAGGTTATAGAAGGAAAAACAGAAAGATTTTAAAATAATTCCATCCAAAGACAGTCAAGAAAACAGAGAAATTAGGAACACAGAACAGGTGGCATATTCAGAAAGTGCTTTTAAAAAGAAGGTAGACTTAAGCCCAAATATGTTAGCAATGGCATTCAATGTAAATGGGCTAAATGTTCAAAGTGAAGAAAAAAAAAAAAAAGGTTGTTAAACTGGCCTGTGAATCACTCCTTGGTCCAGTGCATCTAGGCTTTATAGCTCTCACCTGGTAGTCACTTAGTGGCTGTTTAGAGCACATGTGTCAAACACAAGGCCCGCGGGCCAAATCCGTCCCACCAGGCCTTGCAATGTGGCCCGCACCGCGCTGTCATCACTGCACTCCGCTGCGTTTCCATCACAATGACAGTTTATGACTGTTCAGTAAACCATTCGGCCCGCGATTTAGGCTGGATTTTAGATTTTGGCCCCTTCTCTGATTGAGTTCGACACCCCTAGTTTAGAGTATTAGATAGAATGTCACAGTGCTTGTGTTTAAGGAATCCTTAATAATGATCCCAAAGTGCAAAAGTAGTGATGCTGGCAATTCAGATATGCCAAAGCAGAGACAAAAAGTGCTTCCTTTGAGTGGAAAGGGGAGTACAATCTGGCCAAATAAAGAGGAGACTATCAGGCCAACGGCAGTCTTCTCATCAGCAATAGTAGATGAGACAATGCAATAGTAGCCTCCAAGTTTTTGTGTTTTTTAAAATATATTTTCATTGATTTTTTTTACAGAGAGGAAGAGAGAGGGATAGAGAGGTAGAAACATCGATCAGCTGCCTCTTGCACACGCCCTACTGGAGATGTTCCGGCAACCAAGGTACATGCCCTTGACCGGAATCGAACCTGGGACCCTTCAGTCCGCAGGCCAATGCTCTATCCACTGAGCAAAACCGGTTTCAGCAGCCTCCAAGTTTTGAAGAAATATATCTATCGATCTAGAAACTTGTACTCAGCTATAGCATTCAAGAGTGAGGGCAAAATGCATACATTTTCAGGTATATGTACACAGATAATAATTTAATTAAAAAATTAAAAAAAATAAAGTGTATGATTATTTAAAAAAATAAATAAAATTAAAAAATGAATACATTTTCAGATACACAAGACATGTATTATTAATAAGCCCTCACTGAAAGAAATTCTAATCTATTTTCTTCACCAAGGAATAAAATAAACCTGGAAAGGAGTAGTGGGATACAAGGAATTA